CACACACACACACACACTGTCGCAACCCGACCAATGACTTTATTTCTCTGTTAGTTATGAGTATTTGCATTGGTTATACCATTTACTTATGTAAGCAAGTGCATAATTATATTTGTGAAAACTTGTTTATGTCCATGTAAAAGTACAAGGGAGAAGGGGTGAGGGGGTAGGGGTGTTTGAGGTTATGTGTATTTATGTGAGAGATTGTGAGATATTTGGAGTGATGTTTGAATTTGTCTATTCGTGTGAGTGTTTTTGAATGATTATATTCAATAAGTTGTGATGTAGACTGTCCAAAATCCTATCATTTGCTGTTTAATGAGTATTTTAACCACAACATTTTCTTTCTCTTCCCCCTTCCCACCCCTCTCTTCCAACCCCTCTCTTCCAACCCCTCTCCTCCCCACCCCTCTCCTCTCAACCCCTTCTGGCCAACATCTCCTGTCAATTCCCCCTGTCCTTCTCCCATTTGTCTTCTTGCTCAATCCTCTCTCTTCCCATCCTCCCTTAATCTTCCCGCCCATCTCCTTTTCCTACTTCCTTCCTTCTCCACACCTCTCACCTCTCCCTCTTTTCTTCCCAACCCCTCCGATCTACCTGTCTGCCTCATTTTCGCTCTCCTCCCCCTCCCCCTTTCCCCTCTCCTCTCTTTCCCCATCCTCCTCCCCCTTCCCCACCTTCCCCCACCTTCCCCCTCCTCCCCTACAATCACTTCTGTCCAGGTGTTTGACTCCTCGGGCTCCTTCCTGTCTTATGTCAACTGTGCCAGCGAGCCGCTCTACGGGCCCCAGGGTCTGGCTGTGACGTCACAAGGGGTAGTGGTCGTAGCCGACTCCGGAAACCACTGCATCAAATACTATAAATATCTTCAGTAGACAGTACTTTGCTAGCAACAAGCTTGCTTCTATTCAGGATGAGCCTAATGAAGGGACCACACGTAAGAACAGTAAAGAGTAAAGGGTAAAGATTCTATATTACTGCAGAAACAGAAGAAACGATAGCACAAGATTCTTCTATAGTAGTAAGAGATATGTGCTGTGTGGATCTAATTGATATTTGCAGTAAAAAGCAAAGTTTTTTTTACAGATACTGCAGATGTGGACAGTAGATAGCAAATCCTTTGGTTTTTACTGAAAATATGGGAAAGCAGATATAGTACCAGCTGTGAAGATTATCTGCTGTAGGCCTACATCTGATAGCAGTCAGAGCTTGCTACTATTAGTACTACAGATGTCAGTGTTCAAATACTGCTGCTTGCTACACTAAAAATCAGAGACGTCAGATATCTCTTCAATATAAACGTAAACAATGTGACCTGTTCCTGCCGACATCTTACTGATTTCATGACACTGTTATTTACTAGTGCTTTTATTAGTATGACTCAGAGGCCTACCCTGTACTTTTGAGGATGATCAATTTGCGAGTTTATTTAGACAATTGGATGAAGTCTCCCCCCTGTGCTGAGAAAACATTTGACTTCTCTCCCTGAGGAGGAGACATTATGCTTATGAAGAGAAAAACCTGGGCTTCTGAAGACGCAAGATTTTGCCACTTGAGGATGGAAGCTCCAGCGCCGCCTCAGCTCTTTATATTGTACAGTTGTTGTGGTGGACATCAGTGACTGAACACCCCGGCCGTTGATGTTGTCGACCCAGGAAAAGTGTTATTTTCTTGTCAGACAGACTGGACTTTTCCTATGTCTGTGTCTAAAACAACAACATTGTACTACTTGTAAGCAAGATTATGATGTACCAGAGCCTGGGAAAGATAACTCCCTTCTTGTGTTTTGATCTGATGAGATGAGATTTGACCTCATTTGATCTGTCCTGATCTGATACTTTCTCTGATATTTTGTTTGACGGACATCATGTAATGAGATCTCTTTTTTTTCTTTTTCTTTCTTTCTTATTCTTTTTCTCTGTGTCTCTATCTCTGTTTCTTGCAATCTCTCTGAGTTCTGTCACCGACTCTTTTTCCCTGTATTCACTTCCCTCTTTCTCTTTCTCTCATTCTCTGTTCCATTTAGCTACTTTCGTCTCAATAAGTGTTGCAAAAACTTGTATCATTTCATTCTCTCCTAGCCCACGAGTATTTTGGTATCAAACAGCATCTGTATTTTTGCTGTGGCTTGTTTTGGTTTGAGTCACTAAGATGTACCACTGCTTGTCACTACTTAAGTTTGTGTTCCTGGCTGAGGTCTGCATTCCTTGAGGAACTCAACCTGTGACTCAAGTAGTGATGGAAAACATAATTTATTTTGCAGAGGAGAGAAACAGTTTAAGAGTTGAACATTAAATTAATTCTTTATAAACGTTGAAATAATTCTTTTTGAAAGTTAAAATATTCTTCGTAAAAAATAAAATGATACATTGCACTTTTAAGTCATGAATGTCCTAGCCTGAAAGTCTCAAGGACTTCCCGATAACTCCCTTTGCTGTCCGGATCTTTCCAGTTTTCCATCTCAAGTCAGTTCCCCTGAGGAATGTATGACGTTGCAGCATGTTTCACATACTCCGCTACTATTCATACTGAAATGCTCGGCTTTGTTTAGAAAGGGACCAATCAAACAACTCAATGATATTACATGCTGCGAAGTTGATGAAGATAGTTTTGGTTGATGTAGGTGATGGAGTATAACGAGTTATAATGCATGTAGCGTATCCCTTGTCTTTTATCCATAGGAACTGTATATTGTCGCCTTTCTCACAACTGACATGGAATAACTTTTCCAGATGTTGGACCTACATGTACATTTTTCTTATTTTTTAGAATGATATTGCTGAATGGGGGCTTTTTCAATTAGAAAAAAGCCCATTTTTCTTCTTTTAAATAAAATATAAATGTCTGTGTTCCAGAAAGGCAAAAAACATTCCTTTATTTTATCATCTTCTGCCTTCATATAAGGAAGTACCTGACTTGTAGTATATTGTATTATATCATATTGCATGTAAGTTGTGTGTAAAAGTTAATTTTGAGTATTTATTAAGTTAGACCTACATTTCTTGTTGCCTTGTACATTGTAGTGTATATATATTATATATGTGTCACGACGCGGTGGAATCAGGCACGCGTCAATTTTTGGGCATGTAGAGTTATTGGTATTACCTTAAATCTTGTTCAGTTGTCTTGGTATCTGTGAAAAAAATGCCCATCTATCTTGAAAAGAAGTCAAGATATTTGAGACTGAAGAAGGTGGGGTCGGCTGGGTTCAAAGGTAGAATTAGCAAGAAAATGGCCGCCAAAGTTTGGTTATTTCCTGTAAAATCCACCCAGAAATATGTTCTTACTTGGATAACAATGGTGTTAAGCCGAAAAACATAAATTCGATAAAAATTGCCTAACTGGCAGAAAAATGTCTGTTTCTTCTATTTCATTATTTTGTCGAGCACCTGATTCCACCAAGCTGCGTCACATATGTGTGTGTAAGTGACTGTGTATGTGTGTTTGTGTGTGAGTGTTTTTGTGTGTGTGTATATGTGTACGGACTCATGTGCTTGTGTATGTATGTATATAAGTGTGTGTGTGTGTGTGTGTGTGTGTGTGTGTGTGT